GCGTCCCCACCAGCCAGGTCCGAGGTCGAGGTGCCTCCCCGGGACGTTTTGGCTCTGTGGTGGGGAGGTTCTCCTCTTCCACGCGCCCTGAGATATCCACCAAGGCGCGAGGGTTGATGGTGTCCTAGGGCCAGTTTTGGATTCCTCTGCTGGAGGGCAGAGCGAGGAGGAGCGAGTATAGCAGAGGGCTGGGTGCTGTGCCTGTCCTTGTCAAGGTGCGCTCGAGGGTTTGGAGTGGGGACAAGGGACGGATGTTGCTTATCTTGTCAGCAGTAGGGCTCACCATCACAGAAGTTGACTCTCTCTCTCTCTCTCCATTCTCCTGTTAAGCACCAGGGAAGGGAAACTATTGGACCTTAGACCCCAACTGTGAGAAGATGTTTGACAACGGGAACTTCCGGCGCAAACGCAAGCGGCGCTCTGAGCCCAACGCGCCCGCTTCCACATCTGTAGCCTCCTCTCTCGGGGGCCTGAAGGCCGAGGAGGAGCGACCCATCCCGGCCACAGGCAAACCCTGTGGAACCAGCCCGCCGCCAGAGCTGGACCCATCGCCTTCTGCCAGGGACCATCCAAAAACCTCCTCTCCCTCCGGTATCATTTCATCCACCCCTAGCTGCCTCAGCACCTTCTTCAGTGGCATGAGCTCCCTGAGTAGTGGAAGCAGTCGGCTGGCAGGGGGTCTCGGCAGTGACCTGCACCACAGGAACTTCTCTGCTGGACAGCTGAGCAGTGGCACTTTCACCCCTTCCAGCAGCTCTTCTCAGGAGGTGCCTTCGCCAGACCAGCTGCAGCGAGTTGCGGGACCTTCCCCTGCCTACTACAGCTCCTTCCATCCCAGCAGCAGCAGCCAGGGAGCCCAGTACAACCACTATTACAACTTCACAGTTAACAGCCTCATCTACACCCGGGATGGAACGGAGGTCTAGGATGCTGGGGCAATCGGCCAGCAAGTGCTGCAAAGGGAACGGGAGATGCAGGTGCGTTTGGCAGCACGGAGGACCATATGCTTTTGCAGACAGCATTTCAGTGTGGACGCTTCCCAGGAGTTCCTCCGGGAAGACAAGACCTTCTCACCTTTTAGAATGAAAAAGCCCCATAAACACCAGCAGAAGGCAGATGCAAAGTTTTTTCCCCATGCTGGAAAATTTTAGATGGTTTGCCATCTAAATTCCGCAGAATGAAAGTGAACTGAATTAATGATTTCAGAGGTTTTTAATCCTGAATGTAGAGTTAAGTTTTAAAAATATAACCATAAAGTGGTGTCAGTGAGAACCAAGTGTAGACATCCAGTGAGTCTTAGAGGAGAACAGAAAAAAAAATGAAGAGCTTTCTTATGAAGTGCCTTGTACAATGTATTAAAAAAAGTTCTTCTGCCAGCAATTGCCTCTGTAAGTCCTTGTTTTCTGCCCTGATCTTGAAATATGCAATGCATGGGTAGATACTCTGGGTAAATACCCATCCAAAACCTCCTTGAAGCCTATGGAGGGTTGCTGTGATCTTCCTGTGTATGGTATATTGTGCAATCAGGGCCATGTTATGTACAACAATCTTTTTTCCCTGAGCTTAGTACCAAAGATAACATCCTAGTCATGCAGCTTTAGCAAGAGAATAAACACCAGGGTATTTTTATACATATTTGTACGTAATGTAACTCTTCTGTAAATATGTTTCTATGTGGTTTTATATTTGTAAATTATGCTCTGGATCTGTACTTATTTATAATGTGTTTAAACTTGGTTAAACTTTATTTTGCTTCATTTCCCCTTCTTTTTGTTGTTTTTGTTTATTATTTGTTTTTGTTCGTTAGTGTATTAATGAAACTCTCCAGGTTGAACAGCAACTGTTGGGAATAAAATGTTAACAATTGTTAGATTTTTGCCTGCTTGTTCCTCAGTAGGTTTGAGGCATTTTTAAACTCTGTGGGAGAAAAGTTTTGTTTTCACGTGGTTTGGGATAAAAGGTGCATAGATTTGTGAACAATTTCACCTGTGCAGTAAGACAGAAAAAAACCTGCTCCCAGCCCAAAGGAAAGGCATATGAGCTGATCTGCAGCCTCTTGTAGTCTCATTGTGCAGAGTGGGCACTGTGGGCTTCTTTGTTTGTTTGTTTTTGCTGATGGTCTGAATTACAACTGTGCTTTTTCAGCCTGGTTTAGTAAAAATAATAAAAGTTTCCAAAAGTAAAAGAAGCGGGGCTGGTTCCAGCTTGGTGCCAGCTAGCAGGAAAGCGCTAAGACGGAGTTTGACTGCGTTGGCCTGATCCATTTTGCAAATCAGTTTTTTGAATATGGTTGCACCTGCTTAAAATTACAGGCTTGTTCAGAAGTCGCACCACATCTAGTGGGCCATGATGAGCCGTCTGCTGTAAACAGACACTCCTGAGAATCCTTTCTGATTCATGCCATTGTGAAAGGAGAATCCATCCTATAGCATCCATTATGCAAAACAATAAATCCCAATTCTTGCAATTTGCATAAGCTGTTCATTGGGTCCTGCGTTTAGCCATATAGCATAAATATAAATGTCCTCTAGGGGAATGTAACATCGATAATCAAGTTAAGCACGAAATTGCAGCTGTTTAACATATATGCATCTGACTTAATGTAAGGCCGTCCCTGCTGGCTATTCAGAAAACGGTGTTGTCAGCAGTGCATTTCAGCACCTCACTGGCTACCTGTATAACACGTGTGGTGGTGATGCAAGACAGACCACTGGCCTGGTCCAAAATATAATGAAGTATGACGACGTATCAGATGACTTCCACGTGCTTGGGATCAGGACCAAGTACTTTCCTCAGTGCTGGCCAACCACCATTTGTAAGCCGATGGCAGCTCTGTGACTACCAACTGCCTAATCCCCATCCCTGCTTCCCAGGAAAGATCTATTTTACCTGGCCTTTGGGGTACTTTCTCCATATCTTATTGCATTGCAGGTGATGCAGTGATAGTGACAATGAGAGAGAAAGGGGAGATTGCCATAAGCCAAGAAGCAAGGTGTTCAGTCTTGTCCTGCTTGGGCTCAACCACTCAAGCTGAATAGCATGCTTTATTTGGATTTTGGACTGCTGAGTTTGATATCAAGGCAGTGGCGACGTTCCCATTATCTTCAAAAGACTGCAAGTAGTCCTTTGGAGAAGTAAGCAAGGAACTGCTTGTTTGTGTTTCTAAGTGACTGTTACGCTCGTTCCCTGCTCCACTTGCCTGTTGTCAGACTTTAGCAAGCAGCAAGGCCACACTGGGAGGCTTTCATGTTTCCATCCGATGTTCTTCTACCCAGAAGATCGTTTGGGAATTTACGCTCTGCCACTTCCATCAGCTGTATGTTTCTGCAGAGAGTGCCTGTAAGTCTTTGCTCCTGGGGATCCTGTATCAGTGCTAAACTTTCATTGCCAATACTGCCTGGTGGACTGCCTCTGCCAATCTGTTCTCAGCAAATATCCTGTGCCTCAGTGGAGCTTCTCCCGCCACAGCGATCCTGGCGTAGCCAGAACCTGGCAGAGCAGGGCCCAGGAAGGATTTGCCCACCACAGTGCCCCAGCCTCTCTCCTGGGGGACCGTGCTGGGCTCTAGGGAGTCTTGGGCAGGTCTTCCTGTCCCCACTGCACCTCTCCTGCCCTTAGCACCAAACCCTGCTCCCTCCAGGGAAAGTGAGTGGGAGTCCTCAGCGGGAGGCAGAGGCTTTCAGTCGGGGGTGGACACATCACTCCAAAGGCTGGTGTGTTCATGCTAAAGCAACTTGCCCAAGGGACACTTGATAGTAGCATTCAGCAAATAGACACCTAGTCTGCAGAGAGCAGCCAAGTGAATGAGTTAATGGCAGCCTTTTAGGATTCCTTTTGTCATGAAAAGAGACTCTTCTTTTAGCAACGCCCAAGTCCTGGGAGAGGGAGGGCAAGAGGATTGAGCTTAATGAAAGACACTTAAAAGCAGCGGGGCTATTGTCATGGGCTTTCTGGATTTACTGTGGTTCCCCCACTGAGGGAGGGGGAAGACAAAGGTAATTAGTCCGCTGATCCCACCCTGGGAGCCCCCACTCCCCTGTAAATGCCAAGGCCATGCATGGGCAGGGCAGTTCTCCATGACAATGAACCCGTTCCCAGCCTGGCTCAGGCCATAGCGGGTTGAGACCAGCACCTGAGGGCAGAGCCTGGTCCCAGGGATGTCTGGGAGCCACAGGAATCACCCTGTAAAATTACTCTGGCTTTGAGGGAACAGTGGCCTCTCTGGGAGCAGCTGAGAGCCCCCAAATCCCTGACTGCTGGAAGCTAAACTGAGTCACAGGAAGGCTCATCTTTGCTTGATGTCCTCACCCTTCCTAAGCATCTGCTGCTGGTCGCTGCCAGAGCAGCTGGGCAAGACTGATGCAGCATAGCCACACTTAGTATGAACTCATGGTCCCAGTCAGGACTGCAAGCACCACTGACTGGTACCTCTGGACCTTGCACTGGCTAGTCCTCTCTGAGACTCCGTACCAGGGACTGCAGCTCTTTCAACTGAGCACTGCACACACAACTACCCAAAAAGGCAGTCCCCGCTTGAAAAGCAGCACAGTCCATTTTGTTTCAAGAGACATGTCGGATCAGTAACATAGATGCTTACTGGCTTCTACGTGTGGCATCTCTCCAGCATGGGGTCGTTTAACTTTGCTCAGCGCTGGCCTTATTGACATGCCGGCAAAGGTTGAGGCAGGCACCTACTGCAGGTCTGCGCTTGAGCTGCTCCACATTACAAAGGTTTTGTCGGTACAGCTGGATCAACCCAGTCCCCTAGAGGAGACCCAGCTCATATCAACAAAGGAAACTCTAGTGCCAGTAAAGTTAACCCCCCTCCCACCCCTCGCCTCCTCCAACACGAGCTGTATTGCGGGGCAGTGGGAGGGGATTTGAGAGGCACCACACAGTGCTCCACGCTGGGTTTCCTCGCCCGCCAATTCTTTTGGAAATAGCATTTCAATTGCTGCCACTGGCCATGTACTGGGGTTTACATCTCCTCTGAAGAAGGAGGCTTTTGATTTACTCCATCGCTCACAAAGTCCATGCAAGTCGGTCACAGAACGTTGTGCCTATGCAGAAGATTTTATTACCTTTGTTACATTCACTGGGGATGACTTTTTTCCATAATCAGCAGAAACAGAGCAAAAGAGGCAGCAGTAGGTCTAGTCAAAGAAGCTGCTCTACTGATGTCTTGACTTTGTCCTCCTTGTATTTCTTAGCAATAGAAAATCTTTGTCAAACTTCTCTAAGTAAAGCCTCAACAGCCTTGCAGATTCCAACTGACTTCAGTTGTGGCAGACCTAAATCCTGCCCTGCTCATTTGCGGGTGTCAGTCCCGTTGGTCTGATTCTGATATCCCAGAAAATAAAAGGGACAAAGCTTCATTTTGTAGCTTGACCCAAGAAAGGCAAGGTGAGAATCAGGCCTATCTGGTGGTAACATGGATGGCTGATGCATCAGCCAGAAATAGCTTTGCCGGATGGAGACTACGATTGTTGTGAAATTATTGTTTCTCCATAGGCTTTGGCAAAAAAACCCAAAAAACAAAAACAAAAAAACCACAAGGCTAGTTTCATTGTCCTGTTAGAAAACCCCTCTGAAGCAGATTTTTGTTCCCATTTTTTTTCGCTGTTGAAAGAAAAAAAAAAGGATTTATCTTTTCTTTTTCCTTCTTTTTGGCAGGAATCTTCATCAAGCTGAACTCCCCCTTCTCAAACGTCTTCTGTTAAAAAGAAGGTTGATGGAATGTTTTTGACCAAATTACCAAGCGTGATATTCACCTGGGTAAGGTGACGAGAAAATGCCCCTCAAGGAATAACTGAAGTGTAATGTAAAACATCAAAGGTGTTGGTTTTTTTTACCTTATAGCTGAGCTATCTCTGAATCATATCAAATAATCTTCTCGTTTCATAACACCATACAATGCAGGCTAAAACTGTATGTGATCTGCTTTGTGTATTGCTGAATGGATGATTAAACTGTCTAACCTGAGGGATATTCATCCAGGGCCTGCCCCAAACACAGTGAAGTCAGGGGAAAGACTCCCACCGACTTCAGAGGGCTTTGGAGCAGACCCATAATCAGCCAGGCTCTGATATACTTCAGGTGGTGTTTACGAGACTGCCCCGGGACACGTAGAAGTAGAAAGATTGCACATTTGTGAATTAAACACCATGGGCCCGATCCAGGCAATTGGCTACTGTAGGAGAGCAGAAGCCATCTCCCCTACCCACATGGGCTCCTTGGATCATTTTCCCTTTCCAGCGGTCCATTGTGTCCAGGATGTATTGACAAAGCAAATCTCTCACCGTGCAGCCGATCCATGCTAGCAATAAACAGTGACAAATCAGGTCAGGACCAATGGTTAATCTGCCCTTGGACCCTTCAAGTGGTGCTGATTTTATATCTCATTAAAGTAAATAGCGGCGCTGAACTGTGCCATTTCCCTCCCAGGCCAGTTCAGAGGGTGGCACAACTCACGCCTTGCCCTACTACTTTGAGGCTACACGATTAGTGTGTATTGCTGCTTTTGTAAGCGCTGTCATTGAAAGTATCTTTGAATAGGCAGCGTTAGAGCCTCAGCTCAGAAACACGGAGGTGTCAAAGCTAACGCATAGCAGGAGCAGGCTGGGCCCTCCTCAGGCGAAGGGAATGATTTTCAAATTGGGCCAAAGTATATTTTCATTTTCTCCCCTGGTGGTCTTGGTGGACCCACTCACTCTCTCTCCCAGGGCAATAAGGAGGGGAACGAACCCCTCCTAACGAAGCTGCCAGGCAGCAGGTTCAAAGCAGACAACAGGCGGCAGCGGCTCTTCACCAGAGGCATAGGGACACAGTGCAGCTCCTTGCTCCAGGATACTGAAAGCTCGTGGAGAGGCAGAAGCCCATAGAAAGAACATCCAGCAGAGGTTAGGAAAAGCAAAGGCCTCCATCTTTGGGTGGAAAGTCCCTGAACTGCAAGTCGCTGGAGCGTGGGAATGTATTTTGGGGAAGTACTACTCTACAGTTACAGTCTTCACTAGGCAACCGTATTTTGGCACTGTTTGAGTCAGGATAGTGAGTTCAACAGTTTGTCTGATCCAGCAGAGCCATTTTATGTTCCTACATATATACCA